GCCCTCCCCCTCGGCCGCGCAGCCTCCGCCGGCCGCTCCCGCCGCGGCGCGACCGGGGCGGCCTCTGCCGCGGGCGGTCTGCGGCGAGCGGGCACCTCCTCCCCCTGGGGCGGCGCCTCCTCCGCGGCCGCGGCCGCTCGCTGGCTCGCTCGCTCGGCGGCGCTCGGGCGGCGGCGGCGGTCCGGGCGTAGGGTTCGGCTGGGCTCGGCTGTGTTCGGCTACGCTCGGCTGGGCTCGGCTGGGCTCGGCCGGGCTCGGCCAGGCTCGGCAAGGCTCGGCCGGCAGCAAAAACAGCGAAGAGCCCCGCCTCCTGGGAGGCCGGCGGCCAGCAGCCTGTCGGGGGCGGAGCCATCCCCGCACCGCTGCCGCCATTCAATTGGCTGGCCGCGCCAGGCGCCCGTGCCATTGGTCGTGCGCTGGGGTGGGGACTGGCCCGCCCTTTGTCCAGGCGGGGGCGGGAGCGGGAGGAGGGCTGAGGGGGCTACTCTGTCTAGATCCCTCCCGGGGGAAGGGGGCGGGGGCGAGGCCCATCTACTCGCGGAGAGCTCTTGCCCCTGCCACACCTGGAAGAGCTGCACACCTAACATCTGAGAAAAGCCAAAGCCTCTGTACCCCCATACCTGAGGGGACCGCCCCCCATGTCTGCAAGAGGTCTCTGTCCCTGTCATGTGGAGGCAGACTCTGGGTCCCCGCGTCTGGGAGGAGACAGAACCTCCTCCTCTTGGAAGCCCCCTGTACTCCCGCACGTCCGCTCTCACCCGGGTGTGGGCCCTGCATCTACACTTCAGAGGGTCTGCAGTTGTCTCCGCACTCCCTGGCCCCGGGAGGGGTGAGCAGCTCTGCCCATGCAAGTTCTTTGGACACATTTATGGAGCTCCCACCCAGGATTGGCTGCGGGTTTGTGCTTTGCTCTGCTATGAGGGAGCCTAGGACGGAGAGGAACGGGGTCCTCTGAGGGATGGCTCAACCCTGGCTGGAATAGGACCAGGCATGACTCTCCATCCTAGGAGCTCTCCTCAGAGGAAGACCAGCCTGGGGAGCAGCCCTCGGGTAGACCTTCCTACCCTACCTCATATGCCAGTGATTCCTAAGTGTTCTGAGCTAGACCCTTTTCTCATCTGCACGTATTCTCCGTGGACGAGCACATCCCGAAAGCAATATCGTGAAGTCTCTCAGTACTCCCCAATCCAGCGTTAACTTATCTCTCGCATGCTAGACAAAGATCCAAGTGCCTACCAGAATCTGGGTGACACTGATTCCTGGTTCTGCAACTTAACTAACTTCGTGACCTTGGGCAAGTTGCTTACCCTCTTTTAGCCTCAGCTTCTTCATCTGTAAAATGGTTTTAGTAATAGCTACCTCTCAGGATTGTAGTCACTAATTCATTTATACCAGACTAACCACATCTCAGCAGATGTCAAATGATACAACCCCAAGGACCACGTGGCTAAGGTGCCCCTTCCTCCAATGCCATGAAATTCACATGAGATCCCTATAAATCCAAATGCTGTCTTGAAAATGAGAAAGGGAAAGGTAAAGTAATCTGGAAGACTGAGTCATCCAAACCTACTGAATTTCTTTGTCTAAAATAAATTTTTGGACCCTACTGAGTTTACCAGAGTGGATTAATTTTAGTTGCCCTTGGCCCTGTTACCCAGCAGGGTGGAGGCATTGTGAACAAGATCAAATCGGTTCCAGGAAACAGAGGAGACTTAGATCGTTGCAAATCTGTGTGTAATCTGAGTGAATTTGTGACCCAGCTTCAGGAGTTCAGATGTTATCCTGAAAACGGGGAAGCCACTGAAGAATTTTGAGCAGAAGAGTAAATGTGATCATATCCAAAAATTAGAAGGATGATTTGGGCTGCTGGGTGGAAGGAGGGATTGAAGGCATTTGAGAGTGAAGGCAAGGACTGATGACAAGGGACTGAATTGATGGGGGCAGGTAGGAGTGGAGAGAACAGGAGAGCACTGAGGGTGTTTGGGAGTTATGACTGGCAGGACTCAGAGACCTAGACCTATAGGATATAGGAGGTAGGAGGGAGGGATAGTCAAGGCTGACCCCCAGGTTGCTGACTAGGGGTACTGTGATGCCATGGACTGAGATAGGGAACACACGACAAAGGCTGAGTTTCAGCAGGGGGCTGGGGGATGAGGGGTGGGGAAATGATGAGATCCGTCTGGGATATGTTGAATTTGAGGTACTAATTGGACACCCAAGTTGAGATGTCCAGTAGACAGCTGGATAAACAAACAGGTCTGAGGATCAGGAGAGAGGTCCAGGCTGAAGATAGCATTTCGTGAGTTATAAGCAAAAGAGTAGTAGTCAAACCAGAAAAGTAGATGAGCTCACCCAGGAAGAGTAAGAACTAGTGTAAGCAAAAAGATACATTTATAATCAGATTCTGAAAACCTAAAGACAGGGATGCCTCAGGAACAACTGGAACTAATAGACGCAAAAGCCTTAGGTTCTCTCTCTGCCTCTCATCTGTTACTTTCTGCCTGTCTCCTTCATTTCCCTCCCCTCCCCTAGCCCCAGTCCCTGTCGTCCCTACCTCCAGACTAGCTTCCAATGCTCTTCTTGTCCACATGGTGAAAAACATGACTTCAGACAATCCCAAAGCTTAAATCTTACTGTCTAGGCATCCAACCACCCTGGCTTCTTTTTCTTGCTTGCAGTTTGCAAATTCCTGAGGAAATACTCTGGTTGGCTCAGCTAAGTTAGATGCTTAACTCTAGACGAATCAACTGTGGCCAAGAGATGGATGAGGATCAAATTGCCTGCCTAACACGGCCCACAATAACCCCATGGACATTGGTGGGGGGCGGGGAGGGGGGTCCCAGGAGGAGAGAGATCCTAAAAAAGCAGAATGGCAGGTGTTCACTATAGTCCACCCTTTGTTTGCACAACACACACACACGTTGTTTTCCTATATATATGATTCCAGAAATGCCCCCACCTTCATAATCCAACCATCCCACTATACATATGCCAATAAATTCACCTTCTCTCCAATGGAGGGCAGCTCAATGACACATCCAGCTACTGTCTCCGGAGATTACATCATAGGACCACTGTTCTTCATATTTAGGTTCTTTGAGTAAAGTCCTTTCATGCTCTAGTCAGGTCTCTATAAGGTATGAATATGGTGTCTAATAATCACATTACCTTTGTTTGGGCTGCCTTTGAGCTATCTTTAAACGATTCCTACCCCCCTCCCAAAAAACTCCTGATATTTAGAGATGGAAGAAAGAGACAATAAAATGGAGTAAAAAGAAAGCACTGTACAGTGCTCACTAATCTAGAGCATCATCCATACATTTTTTGGCCATGAATAACAATGAAAACAATGGGACTAGGAAATTTCTTGGCATCTGTTTGTTGACTCAGTTCTTTGGCTACAGAGTTCAATCAGAGTACAGCCAATCTGGCTGCTCTAGGTTTTGCCCACAAGGATGAGATCCCTCATCCAGTCCTCTGAGAGCGTCATTGTAGAGGAATTCTCTGTGGGGCACTGTACTGATTAGCACCGCACTTTCTGGTGGTGTTTGAGGGATTATCCGGGGACTGAGCAATCACAGATCTCTGCATTTATGAGGATTGGGTGTGGTTTTATTTTTCCTCCCAGATGATACAGTTCTTTTAAAACCATAATCAGCTGTCTGTCAGTTTCATCTGGGGGAGAATTCCTTTTGCTAATAACATATTTCATTTATCCTAAGCCACATTTTTTCTGGTTTAAACAACTCAAATCAGAATATGGCTTACAATTAATGGCATGTAATAGTTTTTTAGGCTTTTCTTTTCTTAGTAGTTCATAAAATAACTTGCCTCCTATAATTGATAGAACATAAGATTTATTTAATATAGTAATTTTATCAGCCAGAGTTCTTTTTCACAAATAATACAATCCACTCTGGTTAGTTGAAGCATAAAATGGATTTGTTAAAAGATATTATTTAGCTCAGAATTGTTAGGAGGGCTGAGGAAATGGACTTGAGGCTAAGTTTCTAGGAACAACACCCAAACCATACCACACAACCTGATAAGGAAACCACAGCCACTGCCACTCCAAATACTAAGCACCGGGAGTTCAATTTGACTGCCAGCTTTACAAGCTCTTCGGCCCTTCTGTGGTAAGAGCTCAATATTGTAACCACTGGGAAACCACTGCTGTTCCCACTCCCACCCCCGGAAGCTGGACACTTGTACTACCAGCAACAGCAGAAACTGAAGTCGTATGTCCAACTTGCTTCCTTCCTCTATCGGTCAGGATTAGCTAGGTAACACAGTAGTTTAAAACAACCCCCAGAACTTCCTGGCATAAAATAATAAAGATGTATTTCTTGCTCAGGCTACAGTTCCAGCATTCGTGAAGAGGGGAGGGGGAGTCGTGCTCACTGTGGTCATTCAGAGATTGAGGCTCCGCCTCTTATGCTGATACCATCTTCTTGATAGGAACCCTCAGAGTTTGCTGTGGCAGAAGACAGTGAGGAGAAGCATACACTGGCTTCTGCTCAGCTTGCATTGATCAAAACAAATCTCATGGCCACACCTAACATCAAGTGACAAGGGAAATGCAATCCTCCTGGTGCTCAGAAGGAGAGAAGAACCAGAAACATTGGTGAACTTTAGTGATGTTTACCTCCCTCATATTGCTCATTTCCAAATCAAAGTCTCACGTCGGGGAGGTAGCAAGCTGCAAGGGATGCTGGAATTTTAGTTCTGACTTCTATACTGAGGAGGCTGGATTGTAAAATTAGGATTTTCCCACATGGAAAAACTATTTAAAAGGGGAAGGACATCCATGAATACAACAGATTTCTACTAATATAGTCAATACTAGAATTTTGTAGAACCATGCTCTCTGAAGCTTTGCCAAGAAGATATGGGGCCTGCACAAGTTCTTGGAGCAATTACTCTTTTTTTAGCACTGTGTCTGGGGGCTCTTTCAGTC